CGGTGGGGACGGATTGAATACCTTTCGAAGTCGATCAAATTTACTGAAACACACAGAACAGTAATATGTTCATAGCCTTGGTAAAAAGTGTAGCGGCAAGTGGCACACATCACACACGCATGGACCGCGGGTTCGAATCCTGGATCGATATCCGCTTAGGCCAACCAAGCCTTCCGCCCCTCCGGGGTCAGTTAATTGGTACCAGACCCGTCTGGGAGGATTAAAGCACTGGCTTATTCATCGACTGGACACCACAAGTCATTGTATAGGCCACGCACGCATTCAATTCACCACTACGATTCTGGGTGGAAGTTGAATGCATGGCCTCAGACGGGACTGATTAACGCTTCAAGCGTTTTTTTTTCTGGAAATACACTCAAATACAACTGACCATACTGAAATCAAAGTGCAAATTTGTAGGTGATGGAATACGACAGTACACCGTTCATACCTCCTCCGCTGACGATTTTCTACCATCTCTACTGGTTATTGCGATGGGTTCGAGTACGGAACTTCTCCAGAAAGAATCTTCTAGACGCCTCGCTAAGTGAGTCTGTTTTTTTTTCAGTGGTGTGTCAGTTTTTCAGTGGTGCTATGTGACGTGAAAGGGACTTTTATTATATTGTTCTCTGTATCGGACTTCTATAAGACGTTAGCATATAGAGCTCTTCTTGTCCGATGAACAGATCGAACGAATTCATTCATTCGAAGAGGAATGCATCGAAGATATGGAACGAGAGAAAGATATTCGAAAACAAAGTTCGAATGATGAACGAATTCATCGTACTGCTGAACGATCAGATCAAATTTTGAATAGGTAAGGAAAGTTTCTTTTGTGGAGAAACCTTACATTAACAGTTTCTGCTTCCAATTCTTTCAACATTTTTCATTCATGCATGGATAAGAAATTTTTTGTTAGGATGAACATCGTAGAAAACATTGTGAGGACCGATGTTCGAAATCTGGACATGGTCTTAAAAACGATGGAAAATCGCCATGTAAGTAACGTTTGATAGTTGCTCGAAGGCACAGCTCACGATAAAAGTGGTTTCTGAGATTTCTCCATAGGACATATTCGATGATCCCTCGTATACCATACCTGATGCTATCAGGTAGGCAAGCGGCCTAGTTAGGGCCTTATAAAGGCTCAGTGGTCATCCCGTGGGCATGCGCGGTCGAGTTTCAACGGCATTTGGAAGCTGGACCGATCATGTCGGAAGTTGAAACAACCTATCCCCTGTGACCCATTGCGACAGTGAATTTCTGGACAGATTTGGCTTGATTTAGTCAGCTCTTTACGGGATTGCAGTAACAGAAATCTCGTCCGAATACCCCTTCCATGTCATTTCCGTCGTAGTTATCTCGTTCAAACTCCACTCTCCCGACTTTTGAATAGCCTTATTTTTCGCAAAATCGGCGAGTTTTCTCGCTGCTTTCACCACCTATGCACTAATCCCAACCAA